ATGAGCATTTCTGTAGGTTCAGGGTAAGGCCAGCACTCTCAAAACGTTGCAGAACCGTGTCGAGTTTGGTAATGACGTCATCAAATCCACAGCCATGCACAATGATATCGTCAAAATAATGAACGCAGTCTCGGGGAGTCACATCTCCCAAAACGACGTCAAGAAGACGGGCACAGGTTGCAGGTGCCCCAGCCAAACCAAAAACCATGCGAGTATAACGATACGTGCCGAACGGTGTGGTAATGGTAGTTTTGTCCCTGTCTTTAGGATCCACGGCAACCTGAAAATATGCACTGTTCATATCCAACTGGCAGAATGTGTCAGAGCCAGCCAATGCCTCAAGCGAATCATCAACTCTCGGTATGTGATATGCTGGTACCTTTGACAGGGCGTTCAGGCGGCGCAAATCAGCAACCAGTCTGTATGCACCAGATTTCTTCTTCACCAGACAGGTTGGGGACGGCCATGCACCATCAGACTCCTCCAAAATACCTTGACTGACTAGCTCACTTGACTGACTTCACTAGTTCGTCCGCCAGGTGAGGTGGAACACGCCTGGGGGGGCTGACGGATGGGAGGATGGTCACCGGTATCAATCTCATGGGTGACCAGATCCGTAAACCCGATATGACCGTCAAAGATGTCAGCGTGTCGTTCGAGTAGCGACTCTAACTTACTTCTCTGCTCAGGCGACAGGTCGGAACCACACTGGTCAGACCGCAGTCTGACAGTTTGCTCAGTCCTCAGCTCATCGTTCGAACAGTGTGGCTGCTCGGCAAAACTAACCTCCAACCTGGCCAGGGCACGCTTTTTGGGAACAGTAATGGGCTCAGTCGTCACATTTCGCACCACAAATGGCACAGTGGAGCCAGCGACAGTCACGAGTGCACTGATGACCAGTAAACCATTCAGTTCATCAACGGCTTCGACGAGAGCAGGGCCATTGTAGAAACTATTCTGCACAAAACCTTTTAAAATAACCTCAGTGCCAGGAAAGACGACTCTGTCAGCACTCAAAGAAACGTCGCCGATCGTCACAGCGTGAGCGGACGCTGAACGAACGGCCTCGACGGGGGTAACAAAAAGTTGTTTTGCACGCAAATCAATAACACAGGGACAATGCTGCAAAAAATCAACACCGAGCAAACAGGGCACGTCAGTGACATCAGACACGAAAAATGGTACGGTGCACTTAACGCCATCAATTTTCGAAAGGCACCACAGTTCGACCAAGAAGTGGGAGCTCAGAATGCGACGCAGTACGGGCCTGTACAGATGTCTTTCTCAGTGTCAGGTTCGGCATTGCATCAAACACGGACTTATGCAACACGCTGATCGAGCTACCTGTGTCAAGAAGGCACTGATAATCCACACCAGCCAGGCGCGCCGTCAGACGCATGTCATCGGTCAGTGATATCACATTCGATGGTGACTCAGACTGAGCGCCATCGGAGTTTGAGCGGTCCGGTCGCTCGGTGGTGGAAGGCTTCGCTGGAGACTGCTCTCTCGGCGGCCGGACCCCAACTCGTTTCCCTGCAGAAAAGACTGCTCAGGGCATGTCTGGGGGCACATCACGGCCAAGTGGCCAACTGAGTGACATTTGAAGCACTTCCGGCTCCGCATTCTGCAGCGATCGCGGACATGATTCTGCCCACCGCAGCACAGACATAACCGCGAGCCGCGGTCTCTCTGACCGGCAGAAGAGCCACCGGGACGAGAGGCTGCCTGAACTGCGGCCTCCAAGCTCATCACCCTCCTCGTCAACACAGCCAGTTCACCGTCACAGTCGAGACGGCGGACACTGGGCTGAAACTGCTTCAGATATGCCTGTGAAGCAATCAGGTTACGCACTTTAGTGATGGCGCCGTCAAAGGACGAAATACCGTCCGCAATAACAGCGGCATGTAAGTCAGCGGGCAAGGTGGCCAGGAAATGGCTGAACATCAGTGAGCCCGTATCGGTGAGGGTAGGGAAAGCCATAGCCATCAGCTTTCTAAATCTGATGACAAACGCATAGAGACTCTCGCCCACACTAAACCTCAACTCCCGCAAGGCGAGGTGATGCTCTGCCACGGTCTTAGCACCGAAAGCACCTCTCAACCCTGCAGCAGCCGTCTCGAAGGTGGCAGCCTGTTGAGCGGGCAGGCTATCGAATACGTCACGAGCAATGCCAGTGAGTGACAGCGGGAAGACATTTGACATTTGCTCCCCGGTCCATTCTCGGAGCATGGCATACCGCTGAAAATCATCAAGAAAGCGTCTCAGCGAACCACGTCCATCAAAACTCGGCATCGTCAGACCAGCCATCTCGGATCTCAAATGCGCAGCAGGAGCCACATCAGCCGAAACGGGAGGCTTAGAGTCCATGCTATCAGGAAAGCAATTCAGTCCAAAAAAAAGATGAAGCAAGACTAGGTACATAACCGACCATTGCAGCAGCGCAGGTACCCAGACAGTGTCGCCAGCAGCTCGGTATCACCTGGCAGCCATCAGTCACAGCTACTCCCGCTGCTGCGCACGGCAGAGCCGGACCGGCCGTCCGCTCAGACGCAGCGCGGCGTCCCGCGCAGGAAGCACGCACCAGACCGACCCGGCCGGAGGTCACTCGGCCGGCCGGCGGGCGAGTGGCCGCGGGCGGTCGCAGAGGCGCGCTCAGCGACCCCAGATAAGGCAGGCGTCACCGGGCAGGCGAATGAGCGCGAAAACCTCGTCGACGCGGCAGTAGTTGCGACGTGGGCCCTCCATCCTACCGCTGCCACCAGTTGTAGACGGCCGCCACGTCGAAGACACCGAGGTTTTAGGTGCACTATATTTGATGACCGCCCATCGTCTACGGCGGTGTTCTGCGGCCGAGCTCCGCGTCGGCATTCTGCGGCCGTGCTGTGATCGTGCGCTGCGACGGAAGATTGCGAAGTGATGTCTTTTTTTTTGGTTAACAGGGTCGGGTGTAGTCGGTGCACCGTTTGCATTTCTAGTTTGATTTAGTGCTCGCTTCTCGTTTGTTGAGTCACTTAGCTTGCGATTATCTTGAGGTCTAATTTAGCGTCAGTCAACCCATGCTATTTTGGTATTCATTTTGTATTGCTAATTTTAGTCTCTGTTCTGTCTGTTTCCGCTCTGTTTAGTTGTAGGTCTAGTCTGTCCATTTCCGAGGTTTCGTTGTTTCCCTGTCAGCGTCCACGAGGAGTTGAAGCGCGGTGTTGGCGATGGGCGGTCATCAAATATAGTGCACCTGAAACCTCGGTGCCTTCGACGTGGCGGCCGTCTACATGGTGCGCGCGCAACATGCGACAATTTTTGCCTCCACCTTAAGGCCGAGGCCGGGAGGCAGTCGCAGCTGTTCATCATTCTCCATTCCGTCGTTGGTCCAGAGCTGACCTTGGCCCTCTCGGAGCATGGCTGGCATGAAGCAGGCGCAATGTGAAGTACATTTTTCACTGGCGAACTATTCGTCCCATCCTTCACCCGAGTACAGTGGGGGGGGGGGGGGGAGGGGGGGGGGGGGCGCCTGACAGACCGCCTGAGGTTTTTCTTAACTATCTTAGCGACCATTTATATGATGTCTTCATCAGTACACTTCACGACATGGCAGCCGTTTCGCCGATTTGTCACCACTTTTCTCTGAATAAGTCGCGAGCTATAACCAATTGTCTATAAAGTTTCTTGCTAAACAGACAACATATTTCACTTTCCGAAATTGGGATGGGATGTCTGCTTATTTTATGACTACAATGGCTTTTGACGTCAGTATTGTCTGGCCGAAACGTCTCTGAGAGCGGGGGTCGCGTCACCGGAGGCTAAGTAAATGTTAAACATTTACAATTGTTCCTTTTTACGCAGTTTATGCGACCTGCCCCCGCAAGAATGATTTACTGCGGCTTGCCACATCAGCATAATTTTGACGAGCATCATGCAACCCATTATAGCGAGTTTCTGGTGCCACACAGTCACGTCGGGTCAGGGAAATGTAAAACAGGTAAGTACCACTACAAAAATATACGAGTACTTCGCTTTGAGAAACTGGCTACGAGTTGTGTTTGGTGCAGATGGACTTTGTTTGCGAATATTGATTTAATATGTGTTTACGTAGCATGTAGCCATGACAGTTCCACCCCTATATATATATATATATATATATATATATATATATATATATATATATATATATATATATGAGTGCATAATGTTAAAATAATATTTGCAATGCCATTTTTCTCAACGCATAGGTATGAAAGCGCAATTTGATCGACGGTAATGCATGACATCGCTCAATCTATATGTGCAACTGAATGAAATATACCAAAATTAGGTGCCAAAATTCGTCTACCAAAATTAGGAAGGGCGTTGCGGCATGGCCTGAACGATGCGTATCTTTCTTTATGCCAGGAGGCGGATGCGTTCAACTTGTTTTAATATGCTCTTTGTTGTCATCTTTACACGTGCTTGCTGGAAGGCACGTACCACTGGCTGGTTCTTTCATCATGGCAGCGCTTTACTACATGGATTTAAAGCCGGTGGCATGGTGTCAGTATTCCATACGCTAAATGTTTGTTAGGGCTCATATTTTGTTATAATGATTCTCAGGATAAGGAATTGAGCTCTGGTAACTGTTTTGATAAACGTAAACCTTTGAAGTGCACCAATCATTTATCCCACATATCCACCCGAGTCTTCTCAGCAGCAAAGAAAATCGACAGAATCCGTACACTGAACGTCCTTCAGCTTTGTATTTGGCAGGCGGTGTCGCGCCTATGTCACGTGTATACGACCAACACTTCTCATCACAGTGATTATAACACAAACTATCACGGAGGTGGGGACCCAACTGGACACACACAGAAAAAAACACATCACCGTAAAGCATCTGAACGCATCAGCGACAGCGGAGGCTGCGGCGCTTTGCATCATGAAAACGTCTCACAGATACGAACACATCAAACAGTCACTTGACATTCCCCATGAGCGCAGCTCTTGAATTAAACAGGCTTTGTCATTTTCAGCTAGTTGATGAACTGAGTAAGCGGCTGAAACTGCTGGCTGTCAAATTGCTGACCAACGAACTGCTGCTGATTGAACTGCTGCTGGCCGTTGAGAATGATGCCGGCGCCTCCGTTCTCGGCCCAGAACAGCTGCGGGTAGTCCCGCCTCAGCTGCTCATACTCGGGGATCTGAGCTGGAGCCTGCGGCAGGTGGGCGCCCTGAGGCTGGAAGCCGTTCTCGTCGGCCACGTAGCTGACCTGGTAGGTGTTGCCATCGTCGCCAACAAACTGGTAGCTGCCCTGCTGGGAGATGCTGCCGGTCTCTGGCTGGGACCCCGGCAGCACTCGGCCCACCTCCTGCACCTGGTGACATAAAAACCAATGCGTTAACTTGTATGCACGCCTGACACATCGCCATTTAATAAGTGTTCTCCTTATTTGTGCAAAAGAAAAGCACGAGATGATGTCATCGACGCTACAAGAAACAGCCATGGTACCAAGTTGTAAAGCAATGGGTTTTGAGTCAACTTGCTCTATTTGCAGGTTTTATTCCGACGGAAGTGCTCCCGGCTCGCAGTGTCAATGTCACAACGTCGTGCATGCGCTATAGTGCTAATAGCGAATGACCTTAATTGGTCGTATTAAAGGCAATTACCTACAGGCGTGAAGGTTTAAAGAATATTTACGTGGTGAGTAAAGTGGAGCGGGTAAGTAAAGTGCAGTTTATTACACGGCCGGTAAACTGCAAATTTTGACAGCAATTTGGGTATGTTGCACTACCTATGCACCAGTGGCATCGCAAATACCGAAATGAGACGAAACATTAACTACGAGAACCAATGGTGAGAGCTTTAATTTTTAAGCAGGAAATTGGTGCGGCATTTTGGCTGAGTCCGACTGTGACGGGCACCATTCAAGTGTCCCGCCGTAGGTAGATGACATCGCGCGTCCTGGAGGGACGGAAAAGCACCGCGGCTTGGACTCCACGCAGTCGGGCCACACTTTTCTGTGCGTAATAGGCGCACACTCTCACCTGTCTACAACGTAGCAGCGCAGTGCTGGCTGCTGCAGTAAGTAGGAAACATCGCACGCATAAATGTTCTTTCTTTAAAAAAAAATGCTGAATGACGTGGAAAATGGAACAAAATGAATAGGCATAGCAAACTTCACAGATTGCAAATGAACAAAAATGTCAGGATACGATATAAAGTGTTGGCACCTAGGTGAGTATCGTCTGTTTTTGGTATCGAAAAAAAAACATTTGCAAAACAAAAGAGCAGCCTAGCATCTGGATGCGTTACAAGCGCGGCAGGACCCGTTTCAAACCCACCCTTACCTGTTGTCCGTTGTCTTGTTCATATCCGTACTCATAGTTGCCAGCCTGGTCCTGCTCGAACCTCTGGCTGAGTATGCGCACCGCCTGCAGGCCACTGCTGACAAACTGCTGAGGATTGAAGTCCTGGAGGAACTGCTGTGGCGCTGCGGCCGCCGCAGCCACCAGGCAGATAAACACAAACTGAAACAGAAAAGATGCGGTAGATCTCAGCCAACGCACGGATTATTATAGTGGCTCTAGCCGTTGCGGCGGAACGGTAGAAACCAGCGAGAACAGCAGGGTTATGCGCCAGCTTCAAGAGTGCCTACTGGGACTAGTTAACATGGTGTTGTCTGTCTGGGGGCTCCACTGGTAAGGAATGCTAAGAAAAGATGGTGTGGCAAATCGTTAAGACGTGCATCTTACAATGGAAGGTAGGAATGCGTACAGCTAATTTCAATGGGGATGTTGAGGTTTACGCGGAAACCCAGCGGCGCTGCCGCGTCCTCCACACGTGTTGGCGCTTCTTGTCGTAAAGAACGGTGCGGTTTTCGCTACCTCATCTGCCAGGTTTCCCTTTTTCGTCGGACTGCGGGCCGCGGTGGCTAGCATATGACGGAGACGCACCAGCGGCACTAAATTACCGTGCGAGGAATGGCAGAATTCCCACGAAATCACACTCGTCTTGAAATGAGTCCGATTTCTGCCGAGCTGAGGATCTCATAGCCAGCGGACCGGTCTGCGCGTTTCCGAGCGCGTGTGCCGGCCCGGCCCGAATGACGCAGGCACGCACCGAAACCCCGAGCTCTCACCAGCTGCATGGCGATGGTGAGATGGCGCTGAGGAGACCACTGATGCCGACGGCCGCCACTCGCCGCCTTATATGGTCGTGCCGCTGACCTCGACCTGTGGCTATTGCAGAAGTCGAGGGCTCGAAAAGACACGCTGGTGACCCCTGACGCCTGGGACTCTCCCCCCACGCACAGACACGCACTCCCGTGGCTGCGCTAAACCGGGCACTCTTCTCTCTTCCCCTCTCCTCGTCTCTTCTCAGCTCTTTCCTCCTCTCCTCCCTTCTTCTCCTCTCTCTCCTCTCATCTCATCCCTCCCTCCCCCTCCCTCTCTCTCTCTCTCTCTCTCTCTCTCTCTCCTCTCCTCCCCTCTCTCTCTCTCTCTCCTCTCTCTCTCTCCTCTCTCTCCTCTCTCTCTCTCTCTCTCTCTCTCTCCTCTCTCTCTCTCTCTCTCTCTCTCTCCTCTCTCTCTCCTCTCTCTCCTCTCTCTCCTCTCTCTCTCTCTCTCTCTCTCTCCTCTCTCTCTCTCTCTCCTCTCTCTCTCTTCTCTCTCTCTCTCTCTCTCTCTCTCTCTCTCTCTCTCTCTCACCTAAGTCCCTCTCCATCGAAAACACCGAAAACGTTCCACTCTGTATCTCTGTGACTTTGATAGCACACGACGCGACGATCTATTTCGATTTTTTAGAAATTTGATCCCAACACTTTGAATGGATGGATTTCTGGGATCATCGCTCCCGCTAAGCAGTGCTTATTGTGTGAACCCTGACCCCTACCATCTGTCGCGCAATTCCAGGCAGTGACAGACTTTAATGGCGAAAGCTTAACGTGCCGCAATGCTCGGCACGGTCCGTCCTGTCCCCTGACGTCAACTGACCTTTAGCGCGACCGCTGCCACCGGCCGCAGGTCATACCTGTCAGGCCAGATAGCGAGCGCCCTAAAGCGACTCGAACCCACCCCGCCGGGTGGGTGAATCGGGAGCCAGGCGCTCTAACCAACTGAGCCACCGGGACGGACGCGCGTGGACAAACTGCCGATTAGTGTTGGTTCAAAAAACACTACACCTCTATCAGTTACTCAGTCTACGAATGATCACGGCATCGATGGGCGTGAGCAGCTCATTAAATTGGTAAGGACGGTAGCGATAGCACTTCTCATGCGCTTTTTGCACATTTTTGGCTCTTTGTTGATTGCTACACTTTGGTTTAAAGGAGAGATAATTTAAAACGTTAGGCGTAGTATTTTGGACTCACGAAGCTCTTCGCAGAACTCGGCGGTCAGGAGAGCAGAGCGTTGTCATTTCGCAGGTGCATGTGCTGTGCATCTGACAGCACGGGAAAGTTCGATCAATATCAGGGATGAAGGCCCTAGTAATTACCGTGGACCTCTCGCCATGCTCTCTGCCTACGGCGCGGCGTCTCAATGATACTCACCTCACCTCAGTGGGAGTTAAGAGAAAGCTTCACGCACTTTCTCCCGGCCCAGAAAATCAAATCTTTCCTAAGCATCTATTTATGAATCATTTAGAGACATCAAGGAGATTGCCGGTGCATGATAAGTAGACAGGTAGCACCGAATCAGATAAAGTTGCTCAGCTTTGCAACCGTTTCAATGTGCATAAAAGTTACCGCATGCGCCTGTATCTCTTCAGGTGGAGTAGGTGGCTTCTATGCCATTGGAACATGAATCAATGAACACGAACTGAACTGAAAGTGCCTTCAACGCATAGGTAGCACAACATCCCAAAATGTCTTATAAATTGCAATTTACGTAATACTTAACGCGAGTTTGTTATGCTACCAGGTGCGGGAGGTGGGCTGAGTGCTGCCGGGACCTCAGCCGGAGACCGGCAGCATCTCCCAGCAGAGCAGTGATCAGTTTGTCGGCGACGACGGCAACATCTACCAGGTCAGCTACGTAGCTGACGAGAACGGCTTCCAGCCTCGGGGCGCGTGCCTGTCGCAGGCTTCAGCTCAGATCTCCGAGTACGAGTAGCTGAGGCGCGACTACCCGAAGTTGTTCTGGGCCGAGAACGGAGGAGCCGGCACGACTCTCAACGACCAGCAGCAGCCCAGCCAGCAGCAATTCAAATAGCCGCAGTTCGTCGGTCAGCAATTTGCCGGCACAGTCTGGGGTGAAAAAGCTCCTGAGATACCGGATATCATCAGGGACAAGAAATGACACTTTTGTAAAGCCATGTGGCGACACATTTACAAAAATGCAAACAAATATCAACACACTAGACCATATGCAACAAACCATCCCAGCTAGATGAAACTCGGAGCTTAGCATCGGTATATATTCACCAACGCTTACAGCGTGAGCATGTATAGGGCGCATGTCCAAACGTTGACGTTTCTCTGTATGAGCAAGTTGAGCCATAAAATGCTGCCAAACGTGTTAGCATTGATAAGGATAGTTTTTAGTACGTGACAGAAATATACTACAAACTATACCATACAAACTATACCAGCGCTGACGTCTCACATTAGAGGTGACACAGTGGTTGTCCAATGCCCTTCAAATCAGTGCTTTTCACAGATTTGTTGAGCCAAGATGCTCCTTACATACTAAACAGTATTAAATACCAAATAACTAGGCGTATCACTAGTCGTAAGAAGCGTGCCTGGTAACAGCATCTTGCGCCGAACGTGATCTCAGTTTGCTACACAGCGTTTTAAAGCGTCTTGTCATTTCAAACAGATGAGCTGGAATGCTTGTCACGCGGCCATACGTCGGGTTTAGCGCACGGCTGATGACTGTTGTCGGTTGTATTCATGTTGTGGGAAGTTGACTGGCTAGAAGAACGTATCCAATCGTCATTTCTTCAAAAATTGAATGGCGTTAAAACCCGCGTCGATATGGGAGGATTATTGTTATATTTGCATACCTAAATTGTAGCTTCAGAGGCCAACGGAGGACTTTGAAGCGACACATGTTATGGATTCATCCAGGGCTTCCTGCTGCTGTGATGAACACCGGCTTTCAGGTAAGAGGCCGAGCATCGCCGGTGTAATCCTCTCACATTGCCCGTTGCACCTCAGACTTAGCGTACTCATCGGGGGACGGGTTGAGATAAAACGCTCGTTATTTTCATCAAATTGCATATAAAGCCAACTGAAGGTGCTAGGGGTGATAAAAATATCGTTTGCATCTGTTAGTACCAATACTGCATGGGTTTTGCTCTAAATACTTGGGATCATGTTAGGAAGTGTGAGTTCTGCACCATCAATGATTAGGCAAAGATAGTGAAGGTTGGCAAGGCTTCCAGCTGATTGCACGATGACATCACAAAACCAAACGTGATATTGTTGTCGGATGCTTCTAGAACCATGTTATCGATAAATGCAGGGCTACAGGGGTCCAGTTTTGCAAAATACGTAGTGGTGAAGGATGGATTGGGGGAGGGG